ATCCACACAATCAAAAGCCTTTGCGTAGTCAATAAAGCACAGGTAAACATCTTTCTGATATTCTCTGCTTTCAGCCAAGATCCACTGGACATCAGCAATGATATCTCTTGTTCCACGGCCTCTTCTGAATCCAGCTTGAACCTCTGGAAGTTCTCTTATCAATGTATGATTGTAGCCGTTTCTGTACTACCTTTAGCAAAACACTACTAGCATGGGCTATCAAAGAGACTGTCTGATGGTTTCTGCATTCCGTTGGGTCACCTCTCTTTGGAATGGGCACAAATATGGATCTCTTCCAATCAGTTGGCCAGATAGTTGTCTTCCAAATTTAAATAGGACTGCATAAAGTTCACAGTTCTAACTGACAGGTACATTTCCATGATAGAAAGAAATTTAGGTGATCCTGCACCATCCTAACAAGTGCTGTTATAATTGAGCCCATTGCTGATGCCACAGTGCCAATCCTTTTCAGTAAGGGGCTCCCTTTTTTTTTTTTTTCCTGACACTACACTTGACCAAGAAAGATGTCCCTTCTCTAGGGACTAGTCTCTCCTAACAATATGTCCAAAGTATGAGATGAAGTCTGGTCACCTTGGCTTCTAAGAAGCATTCTGGTTGTTACTTCTCCCAACACCGATTGGTTTATTCTTCTGGAAGTTCATGGCACCTTTAATATTCTTCTCCAACAACACCATAACTCAAATGCACAAACTCTTCTAGTCTTCCTTATTTATTATGCAACTTTCACATGCATATGTTGTTGTTGTTAAATGTCATCGAGTAGGTTCTAACCCATAGTGACCCTGTATAGGGTTTCCAAGGAACAGCTGGTGAGCTTGAACAGCCGACCTTGCAGTTCAAATGGCTTTGTAGTCTGGCTACTGAAAATACCAAGGCTTGGGTCAGGTGCACTTTAGTTGTCAAACTGACATCTTTGCTCTTGAACACTTTAAAGAAATTTTGTGCAGATGTGCCTAATGTACATTGTTTGATTTCCTGACTGCTGCTTCCATGAATGCTGATAGCAGATCCAAACAAAGTGAAGTCTTTGACAACTTCAATATTTTCTCCATTTATCATGATGTTGTTTTTTGTTATTTTTGGTCCACTGGTTAAGATCTTTGTTTTCTTCACAATGAATGCAACCCAGACTGAAGGCTGTGATCTTCATCTGTATTTTAAGTCCTCTTTGGTTTCAGCAAGCAAGGTTGTATCATCTACATACTGCAGGTTGTTAATGAGTCTTCCTCAAATCCTTCTGCTTCTTCATATAATCCAGCTCTTCAGATTATTTGCTTTGCATACAGATAGAATAAGTATGGTGACAGAATACAACCCTGGCACACATGTTCCTGATTTTAAACCATTCAATTATCACCTTGGTCTGTCTGAATGACCGCCTCTTGGTCTATATATAGATTCCTCATGAACACAATGAAGTATTCCAGAATACTCATTCTCCGCAATGTTGTCCACAGCTTGTTATCATCCACAGAGTCCAAAGCCTTTGCATAGTCAATAAAGCACAGGTAAACATCTTTCTGGTATTCTCTGCTTTCAGCCAAGATCATCTGATGCTAACAATGAAATCCCTCATTCCATCCTCATCTAAATCTGGCTTGAACCTCTGGCAATTCTCTGTCAGTGTACTGCTGCAATCATTTTTGAATTATCTTTAGCCAAAATTTTACTTGCATGTGGTTTTAATGAGTACTGTTGTTAGGTGCCATCAAATCGATGTGGACTCATAGCAACCCTATGCACAGCACAGCAAAACACTGCCCGGTCCTGCACCAAGCTCACAATTACTGCTATGTCTTAGCCCACTGCTGCTTCCACTATGCAAATCCATCTCATTGGGGTCTTTCTCTATCAATGTATGGTTGCATAGGTATTTGTATTATCTTTACTAAGACTTCACTCACATGGGATATCAATGATATTGATGGGATATCAACGAAATTTCCATATTTGGGGGGCTCAGCTCTCTTT